TTAAAGAGCCTTTGCTTTTTGGGTGCTGGGGACAGCCCAGGGCTTCAGCACGCAGGGCAGGTGCTCCCCACTGTGCTCCACCCGTTCTGTAGCCATGGAGGCGGCTTCTGCTCAGCCTCACCTTCACAAACCCGCCCAGTTACCTGCAGAGCTCAGAATAATCCCGACTTCTTACCCAAAGCCCTGTGTGAGCATCCACTCTCCCAGGCCTCAAGCAGGTGGGTACTGCCTGCCTCAGGGCCTGCACAGTTGGGCAAATTCCCCAGCACGTTTAGTTGTAGTTGGACACAACACCTTTATTTTGCTTATTCATTTTTATGTGGCGCATGAGGATTGAACCCGCTGACCCACAACCAGTCTGTTTTCTCCACTTCTTGGGGCACAGCCCAGGGACCCCCACGTCTGGGCTTCTGCTTGGAACCAGTGCTGCACATAGATATACAGAAGGGCTGTTGGCTCCCTGCTAAAGATCTGCGTACAGTCACGGGGGTGGTGGCGCCAGGGGGAGAAGTCAGGGGTTGGCTCACACACCCATCTCTGCAGGGGAGATGGAGCAGCATGTGCGGCTCCTTGCTGAGTTGCTGCCAGACTGGCTCAGCCTGCACCGCATCCGCACGGACACCTACATCAAGCTGGACAAAGCCACTGACCTGACCAGCATCGCAGCACGGCTGGCCCATCAGGCTCGTGCAGAGGGGCTGTGAGCCATGGACAACCAAGCCTTTTGTTCCACTAATTGGATGGACTTTGGATCTTCCTCCCAGGGTGCCTGCCCCCTGCCCTGCCCATCAAATATTGCACATGGGTTGCAGGCTGTGTGGCCTCTGGCCATGTGGAGAGTGGGTCTGCTCCAGGGATCTCTGAGTGGGCTCTGTCTTGGCTGCTGGGGTGGGGAAGCCACTTCCAGCCCCTGTGGGTGTATCCGGGAAGTGGGCTGGGGCAGTTGGCTTTTGCTGCCACCCAGAGTGTGGCTCTGTGGCTGGGAGGGCAGTGTCCTCCCAGATGTCCATGTCCTAGCCTGCTGAGCTGTGATCTCATACAGCAGAGGGGACACTGACACAAAGGCTTGCTGGGTGTCCCACCATGAGCTGCTGAAGTGTGCTTAGGTCCACATGTTCCATTGGCCAGCTGAGAGCTGTGTCCTCCCAGGGCACTTCCTACCTTGCTTGAAGGAGCCTCTTTACAAAAGAAATCTAATGTACAAAGACGAGGTTCTGAGAACATGAAATCAGACTTCCCTTTGAAGAATGAAGAGAATTTTGATTTTCTAGATTTTGAGCTAAAATACCTTATAAAATTAAGCTTTTTAAAAGTATCTCACCAGGAAGATCTTTTCTGCTTACTTTGAGGTTAACTTCCAAATACCCAAGGCTTTGGAGTTTCCAGTCTTGTTCGCTTTTTGTCATGTAAGATTTGAATAAAAGTTTGCTGCTGAGAGGGCTGCCTTCCTGAGTTGGGTCTCAGTTCCTCAGGACAGTGCCAACAAGGGAGCAAAGGTCCCACCTGAGGGTGGCCCAGGACAGTCTCAGTCCCAGACTGCCACAAAGTATCTGGGGAACTGGAAAACACTGGTGGCCCAGTATCACCACAGGGTTCTAGAAAACCAGATTTGAAGGTGTCTGCAAGGTCGTGGAAATCCCGGGGAAGCTGGCAGGGCCTCCAGACACCTGGCTGTGGCACTTTGGACTCCAGAGCAGGCGGCAGCCACCTCTTGGGCTGTGACTTGTGACGTATAGCTCTCCCACCTGCCAAGCTTTATCTGAAGTGAGACCTAGAGTGCTGAGCACTGCCCCAGGCTTCCCCCAGCAAGTGATGGACAAGAGACGGTGGTGTAGCAAAGCTGTTTACTGGAGTGATCTTGCTGCATTTTTAACTGGGCTTGGTGGCCTGGTGGTGGCTGTGCTTTAGGTTTGGGCACTTCCAGAACCTGCAGGAAGGGCCCCAGGTGGAGACCTGTGGGTACCAAAGGTCATTCAACCAAGGAACAGGTAAAAAACATTTCCAAGGGCAGCCACTGGCCTCTGGTGGCCGTGGAGGTCATTTAAGGCACTTGGGGTAGAATCACAATCTTGTCCAGCTGAAGATGCGAGGCAGGGGGTGGGCAGCCATCCTGGTCACCCAGTCATTCATACTGCAGGAGGGAGAAGAAGGGCACAGCCCCCAGCTTCTCCCTGCCCTTCAGTGAGGTCAGTTCCACCAGGCACACACACTCCAGCACCTCAGCCCGCAGCTGGCCCAGCAGTTCACAGGCTGCACACATGGTTCCTAGGGATGGTGTGGGTGTAGGGTGAGGCCCCCGGCTCTGAGCTGGGCCAGCCCCAGGGGATAGGGAGGGGAGAGGTGGTTGCCACAGCACCAAAGCCCCCCTCTGGCCCCAGTAAGCCAGAAAGGGCTGAGATGCCACCTGTTCCATGCTACTTCAGTGGGTAGGCATTCCCTCCCACCCACACCCAGGCAGCTCACCACCAGTGGCCAGCAGATCGTCCACAACAACCACCTTCTGCCCGGGCTCCAGGGCATCCTTTTGAATTTCCAGCTCAGCCTGTGGACAGGAAGTGGGCAGTGACTGGCTGTGTGAGCCTGGGGAGCTCAGGGACCCGCTCCTGCCCCCCTGGCCACCCCAGCCTGCCCACCTTCCCATATTCCAAAGCGTAGGAGGCAGACACTGTAGGGCCCGGCAGCTTCCCACGCTTTCGGATGAGCACAAAGCCCAGGCCCAGCTCCTGGGCCAGAGAGGGACCAAACAGGAAGCCTCTGGAGTCTAGGCCTGTCAGGGGAAAAGGGTGTCAGGCAGTAGCCCGGAGTACAGCAGCATGGGGACAAGCAGCCAGTGACAAGGGACACCTGGTCTTGTTGGCTCTGCCTAGAAGGTTGATGACACCCATCCCAGGGCCTAGTTGATCCTACAGGCCAAGAACGGTTGCCTGGAGAGGTCACCTGGCCTCAGTTCAGCTCACTCCCCAGGGGCAGTGCCTGCTCTGTAGCTCCTTGTCCACAAGAGCAGGCAGTGATCAGGCTGGCACCTCAAGAGGCGGACTGAGCCGAGGATGATGCTCAGTGTACCCCCATACACTGGCAGGAAGTGAGCTCACCCCTCCCCTGGGGGTATGTCCCTCAGGGCAGTGAGCAGGGTGGGATGTGTACCCCTCGGGTGACAAGAACCACCAGGAGCGCCCTGTTTCCCCCCCAGCCCCCTCAATAGGGCTCTCCTGATAACCCCTGGTGGGCATTGGGCTATCCAGGGCCACCTCCCAAGCCCCAGGCCGGGTCCTGGGTCTGGAACACAGCAGGCACTCAACACAAAAGCTTTTGCAGAGGCAACAAGAGAAGGAGGGTGGCTGGGTCGAGGAGGTCAGACGATCCTAGAGACGCCATGGCTGTCCATATAACAAGCTTCTAGGGGAGAAGGTACCCCGCCTGGAACCCAGAGTGGGCACCACCAGAGGGAGGCCTCCAGTTGGTGCTGCCAGGCCCAGGAGCAGCCACCCGAGGGCTGAGGCTGTAGGGGTGGGCAGCCCTTTCTCAGCGCTACCAAGCAGGGCGTCCGGTGGCCCGGAGCAGGCCTGGGCTTACAACCCTTGATGGTGATCCCAAGATGGGTCCTTCCTCCTGGCGGTCTTCTGAAAAACCTCCAAAGCCCTCCCCTAAGCTCATGTGTGGACCCCACACAGCCCTGCCCCCAGGATGCCTGGCCACCCTAAGCAGGCAGAGCCAGTGGGGTCAGGGGGCAAAGGTGCAAGGCTGTGCAGACACTGCAGGCCACAGTAGGAGGAACGGGAAGTCACCCCACCCTGTCCCATTCTCCCATTAAGCGGGGAAGAGAGGGGGCAGAAAGGATAGCAGAATAGGGAAAAGGGGGGACAGAAGGGTCGGGGTAGAGGAATAGGGAGCAGGACCCGAGGGCATGTAGGAACTGGAGGACAGGGTCACGGCGATAAAAGACAGGAGGCTAGGCGACAGAGGGACGGGGAACGGGAACTTGGGCGCGGAACAGTTAGACGAGCCTGGAAGGGGGACCTGAGCAGGAGCACTGGACAGGGACGGGCGGGGCAGAGGAGGCCGCGCCGGGCCACTCGCCTGCGATGTAGTCTATCTTGCCGCCGTGCGTGGTCCTTAGGTGGCTGGCCAGGAGGCGGATGCAGGCGCGGAAGGAGTCAGGGTCCTTCAGCAGCGGCGAGATGTCCCTGCGCACAAGGACGGGGTGGTGACTCGAGCTGGCGGGGCGTGCAGCCTGCGGGACCCCGGAGCAGCCCACGCACTCGCGCCGGGGGCCGAGCGTGGCGCCAACGCTCGGGCTGTGCCGCGCCGCCCGGGCCGCGGCCGCACCTGAACAGCACGCCCGGGATGGGGAAGTCGGGGAAGCTGCGGATGCTCCGCGCCACCAGCTGCAGATCGTGCTCCGCCATGGCCGCGTGTGAGGGACCGGGGCGAGGGCTAGGCTGCTCCAGCGGGGCCGGGCCGGACGCGGGGCGGGGCCGGGCACCGGGGCGGAGCCGGGCGCGAGGGCGGAGCGGGGGAGAGGGGCGGGGCTTGGCGCGGAGACGGAGGGCGCGCGGGGAGAGTGCGTCAAGGGGCGGGGCGGCGCCGGAGGGGCGGGGCCGGGCCGAGGGGCGGGGCTCCTGCGGGAAGTACCGTTTTCTCGAGTCCTTGGTGACCAGTTTCATGACGTGTCCTCATTTCTTGCACCACAGTTGCTTCCCGTCTCAAGCATGTTGGGCGGGACGAAGGTGGCTCTGCTCTGGTCCCCACAGGCCCCCCGTGAAGGGCCAGCCGGGCCCACCTCAGCAGGTCGCGGAGACCGAGTGCAGGGGGCGGGATGCTTGGCCGGCCTCTAGGCCCACGGGGCCTCTGTCCCTGTGCTGGGACCATGGAATCGCCCTAGCCAGGGCCCGAGGTGCCGGTCAGCGCCCGAGGTGCCCGGTCAGCGCCTCGGCACCTTCCTAGGCCAGGTGCCTGCCTCCCCCAGGTGCAGTCTCCTTCTACACCCCAAGTCGACAAAGTTAAAACAGGCTTTGTTCTTTATTATGAGCCGATTCTTCGACACTTCCCAACTTCTACGATTTGTTTTGGCGGAACGGCAGAGATGTGAGAACCCACTCATGGAAGGCGGCTCCCACCTGCCTTGAGACAGGTGGGCTCACAGCAGACAGAATCAGTGTGCTGAGCCCGGGCAGAGAGCCAAGGACACCGACACCCTCCACAGAAGAAGTGGCATGGGCGCCCAATGTGGGGTGGAGTGTCTGCCTCCTCCCTGTCCCCCCTTGTCCACAGCCCTGTGGGGTGGTGTGGAGAGCACCCTAATAGCACCGAGGGGCTCAGAATCCAATCACACCACTGCCATCAATCCTTCATCACTGAGATGGAAACACGCAGGAGCAGGGGAGGCAGCAGTCACGCCTGTGGCCTCCTTCATAGCCAGCCGAGATGATGGGCTGCAGGGTCAGGTGGGTGGGAGGAGCAATGAGGAGTGGACTCTAGAACCAGGTCTCCGGCAGGCCTTGCTGGGGGCTGCAGGTGCTGTCTGGCAGTGAGCACTTCGCAGAGGTCAGACACTTCCTGCTCTTGGGCACCTGCAGGGTCTGGAGATTCTGGGTTCAATCAGGTGCTAATGGAGCCAGGAGCACTTCTCTGGGACAGACTCTGGAGGCCTCAGACACTTGCCTAACTTTTCACAGCCTGGGGGTGCCCAGTTCTACGAAATGAAAATTCAAGAAAACATGGAGTTACTCCAGGCACTTTTGTCTTGGCTGCAGTGAGATGCTTGCCCCTGCCCAGGTTGAGTCTCACACCCACAGCTGGGCTGCAGTGGGGAGACCATCTCCATCTCCACCTGGTCAGGCAAGCTGCAGCCTTGCTGGGCATCACGGGAACCTGCAGCCTCTCTCTGAGGGGGAGTGGCTGGGGCAGGGCTGGTGAACATCAAGGCAAGTGTCAGCAGCCAGGGTGAGGCCAGCATGAGGCTAGCTGTGGGCAGGGGACACCAGACACCTGCCCATGTCCTGGGCAGTGCTTCCAGGTGGAAGAAGGAAGTGGAGGACCACCCCAGCTCGGTGTTGGGGAAGGAAGGCATCTCTCTGGGAGGGAGCTGGGGTACAGACTGGAGTGCCCCTAAGGGTCCCCTGGGAGGAGCCTTCTTGTGGGGAGACTGAGGGCAGCCCGGTTTGCTATGGTCTGAATCAGAGCATTTGACGTTTCTCCCCGATGGCATAAGGCACTCAGTGAGCCCTTAGCAGGATGGTTGGGGGGAGGGGCTGTTCCCAACCTTTGAAGGACAGAAGTGGCAGGTGTGTGTGTCTAGACTCAGGGTAGGGGTTATGCTTCTCAAGGCTGCTGCTGTGTGTCCTGTGGGCAGTGGGACAGGCCCCTCTTCAGGGGCTGTGAGAAGCTGCATGGGGACTGAACTTAGAGACTGAGGAGGTGCCACTGAGCCCCGCACAGTGTGGCCTGGGATTTGAGGAGCAGAGCTCTGTAGGGAGGCCCTAGAGAAGGCAGGGCACTAGCGACCCCTGAAGCTCCATGGTAGCACTCACCATGGAAATGGAAGCGGGGCCTTCCCTGAGTCTCGCCTAGGGTGTGTCCTGGACCCTAGCACCCCTTCTCCTGCACTGAAGAGCCTGGATGCAGCTAGCTGCAACAGTTCTCCCAGCGCCCAGGAGATGGCAGCAGCACACTGGCCATGTGCCGCCCACTTCCCTGGCCCTTCGCCCGTCAGGAAGCCCACCATGGCTCTGCACAGTTGGAAGGTAGCTGCTCTCTGGAGACAGCTTGATCCTGCAGAACAGTCACAGAAGCAGCAATGCCCGACCAGAGGGGACTGGGCTCCTGGGGCCAAAAACAGCGGTCCTGAAACAGGGACCTCCCAGCTCCACAGCCAACAGAGGCCCAAACACCAGTAGCATGGGTGTCCCTTTGAAGGAAGGGCCCAAAAGTCCCATGTGAGACTCAGCCATGGACACAGATGAGGCCACCCACTGGCCCTGACCAACTGAGGAACCTCTGCCCATCCCAGTCTCCAGTAAGCCCTTAGCAGAGTGGCTGGCCCCTGGCCCTGGACAAGGACATTCACCAAGGAGGGTGCTCCTCTGCACTGCCTCCCTGCTGCCCAGAAGGTTTCTCTGGGTGCTGAGTCCATCTAGTCAGGCTGAGCCCAGGCACACTTCACGGGAGTGGAAGTGCCCCTGAAAGGCCAAGCCCGCACCTGGGGCTCAGAGGCTGCACCGTCTGACCTGGAAGGGCCCTAAATCAGGCCTTTGTCCTGCACAGGAGGAAGAAGGTCTGACAAGCTTGGTCTTCTCTGGAGCAGCCCCGGGGCTCAGTTGGCATGACCAGTGGGCACGGGAGCCTGGGTGTGGCCAGGTGAGCAGAGGGCTGGCTCTGGGGCTTCCAGGAGACCCTGTGGCTCTGCTGCTTTTGTCACACAAGGTGTGTCACTGGAACTCCAGTCTGAAGGGGGCTGCAGGGGTCTCCCATGGGGTCAAGGTCCCTCCTAGCTGGTACCTGCTTCTGCTATGCTGGGAGGTGGGCACCCCTGGGGCTGTGCACACCCTGCCCGCATGGCCCTGAGCACAGCCCTGGGCTGTTTCTCCTACTTAGGCCTCCTTCTTGCTCCCCTTGGTAACATCAGTCTGGGCCTCACGTCTACTGTCCTTAACCATTACCATGACGACGTCACAACGCCCCTTACGGCCTGAGTGGAGGTTTACTCCCTCTGGGGATCCCTGTGGGACCTCCAGCCTGGGGACAGCCCCCCATGTGAATCATGGGCCACGGTGCCTGTTCCCTCCTGTGCTTCAGTGTGCACAGGGCTAGGGGTTGGACAGCTGGCTGGCCTGGTCCTGCCATGCTCAGCTCAGCAGGAGAAAGGCATGGTGGACCCTGGGGCCTGCTGCCTCCCTGAGACAGTGTCCTTGGGTCCCCTGAGGGTTCTAGCTCATCCTCCATCTGCAGAGCTCGTGGGAAGCAGCAGGAGGGCAGTTTCTAACTATAGCCCTGTTCCCTCAGGTGGAGTGGCGACTCTGCTCCATGGCCCAGGTGATACCTGGTGCACCTGTGGCCCTTCCATGAGGCACTGGGCTCTAGAACACACTACAACCCAAGATGGCTGTGTGCCAGGGTGCTGATGCTCTGATGCAGGCCATGGTTGGCCCTGGGTTCAGGGTGGGTAGCTGCAGCCCAGGTGCAGTGACGGGTCCAGCAAGGACAGTCCACTCACCATGACTGCCTGGTTGCACACATTGAGCTGGGGCTGTCCGGGGACCAAGGCCTCCTGGTGCTGCTGGACAGCTGGGGTGATTCTGCCAAGGGCGTCCTGGTACTCAGCACTGCCAAAGCTGGAGAAGAGAAAGGCCAGGGTCACTAAGAGGTTCACTGGCAGCATCTGGGGCTGGTCCGCTCCCGGGCTCCTGGCTGGTGCTCAGGAAGGCCCACAGCTGTTCTAGGAGGGAGAGGGCTGGGAGGGGCTGGGTCTGGGACGCCTCAGTCTCTGAGCTGGTCACCAGAGATGGGCAGGCTGAGGATGCCAGCCAGTGGTCCGTGTGGGCTATGGCCTCTGGACTGCTGACTTGGCCTCTCTGGACAGGTGGCCTGTGCTAGTCTCCTGAGTCCTGGTGACGAGGCCCTCTGGGGAGCTGAAGCTCTTGGTGTCAGGACATCCACAACACAACTCACAAATGGGACCAGGAGTCGGGGTAGTGGGCTAGCGCCTGCGAGGGCAGAGATGGGGAGAGGCCAGGGAGAGAAAGTGGCCCCGCCCAGGAGGCACCAAGGCTGCTCTGGGAGGGCTGCACTCCGGGATGCTCCAGAGGAGCCCGCTCAGGCGCCTGGGTGTGGCCTTGCCTTGGGCTGGGTTGGCAAGCATTTCCTCGGTCCGGTGCCCTGGTCCTGACTCACCTGAGCGGGTACCTCTCCCCAGGGTCTCGTCCCAGGTGGAACATCAGGGGCAGCTTTGTGTGCTCTTCTTGGGTGTGGGTTGTGACTCCTGAGACGTTCTGCCCAGGACAGAAGTCGATGCCCTGTGGGGAGCCGGAGGGAGTGTGGGTGCCTCAGGAAGCCCTGCCTGCACTGCCCTGCTCCTGGCTCTCTAGAACACAGGTCCACGGGCATGCGGGGCAAAGGTTGTGAAGCCTGGGGCAGACACTGTCTGGCAGCCTGCCTCCGTGCCTCCCTCCATGATCCCGTCCCTGTGGAGGACAGGTCTTGAACATGTTAGTCAACCTCACGTTCTTTCTTTCTTTTTTGGTACCAAGGATTGAACTCGGGCACTTTACTTCTAATCACACCCCAGCCCTATTTTGTGTCTCATTAGAGACAGGGTCTCACTGAGTTGCTTAGTGACTTACTTTTGCTGAGGCTGGCTTTGAACTCATGATCGTCCTGCCTCAGCCTCCGGAGCCACTGGAATTACAGTGTGTGCCACGGCGCCCAGCTTTTATTTCTTTCTAAAGTACTGGGGATTGGGCCCAGGACGCTCCACCACTGAGCTGAACCCCTAGTCCTCTTCCTTATTTTATTTTGAGACAGGTTCTTGCTAAGTGCCGAGGCTGGCCTTGAATTCCTGACCCTCCTGCCTCGGCTCCTGGGTTGCTGGGATCATAGGTGTGGGCCTCTGCACCTGACCAGCCTGACATCTTGGCTGCTGCCAGCATTATGGAGAAGTTCTCCTTCCAAACCCCTGTGGGTCTAGGAGGAGAGGTGGCCTCTGGTGGGAGACCAAGTCAGGGTGAAGAGTCACAGATGCCCCAGAGCCAAGAGACCACAGACCCAGGGCAGATGCTGAAGCGGAGGGGCAAGGACATCAGAACCATGACCACAGGTGGGCCCGGGGACTAGGGGCCTGGAGGCCACGCAGGTGGGCCCAGGGACTAGGGGCGTGGAGGCCACCAGGTGAACCTGGGTTTGATTGTCTCCACATCCTTTCGATGACCTGGGCAGCCTCCCACTGGGTATCCTCAGACACTCTGGCCTTCTCCAGGGGCTTGAGGTCAGTGGTGGAGCTGGTAGGCACAGGCTCTCTGGCCAGGCTGACCTGCTGCTGTGTGGCTCATGGGCCCTGGGTGTCCCCCTCCAGCCTGCACACCACAGAACAGCCAGTTCCCACCTGTCTGCCCCTGGGAACTGCCAGGCAGGGCCCCTGACACTGGGCACCTACTGGAGCCGTGGGCTCACTGTGCTCCTGCTCTGAGCAGAGGAAGCAAAGCGCCAGTGACCCCGGCGCCCGCAGGAGTGCCAGGAAATGAAAGGGGCACCGAGTGGACAGCTGTGGGCTGAGCAGAAGCCCTGCCAGGAGCCCAGCCTGGGCTTCTCCCCATGCAGACAGCTCCAGGCCACCAGATGGTATGGTGTGGGCTCTGTCCGTGGAAGTTGCTCCACACCTTCCTGGAGGTAGCCCCACCCCCATTCTGTGTTTTTTTTTTTTTTTTGGCACTGGGGATCCAACTTGAGCCACACCTTTTACTCATACTTTGGACAGTCTCGCTAAGTGGCTGAGGCTATCCTTGAACTTGTGATCCTCTTGCCTCAGCCTCTCAGTTGCTTAGGTTACAGGTGTACAGGTGTGGACCACCTAGATGCCCCATCCCCTCTGAATATCAGCCTGGCAGAAGCCCAGCTGGGCCTTAGGGCCATGTGCTAGGGAAGCCAGGGGACAGACCAGCCACCCTGTTCCCAGGATGTAGGGCAGGGGCCCAGAGAGGGACCCTGCAAGCCTGAGGGGCCTTTCTCCTACGTCTGAACCACCCAGACTCTCGAGGAGCTAACAACAGGGACCCCAGGAAAAGCTAGGGAGGACATAGGGGTCCTCTGGGAAAGGTAGAGGAGCCCCCATCTCTGGGGGTCCTGCTCCCTCCCTCAAGGGCACTTTTAAGCATTTCTTAGCCACTTGGCCAGGTGTGGCCTCTGGGGCCCAAGGGAAATGGGGCAGGTGCCTTTGGGGCACCAGTTTTTGCTTAGGGCCTGGTGGGGCAAGGCCAGTGCTTAGGACAGCCCTGAGCACTTGTGAATCCTGACCTGAAGGAAGAGCAGGGGCTAGGGCCATGCAGGAGGCCGGCAAGGCAGCATGGGAGGGGCCAGCAGACCAGCAAGGGCCTGGGACACTATCCTGCCGCCCATGTGTCCACAGGAGGCACTTGTGTCCTGGGCTGGACAGCAGTCCCACCAGCAGCTCCAAGTGCACCTTCTATGTTGCACGCCTACCTGCCGGCCTCCTGCCCAGCCCAACTTCTGAGCCAGGAGCTGGCCACGCGGGCCCCAGCTGGCTCTGAGTGTTCTAGCACTCAGACTGTGCACTGGCTTAACTCGACTGCCTTCCCAATTAAGGAAAATTAGCAAGGTCTCCAAGTATCTAATGACCTTGGGGGGCTGGGGGCTGGAGGAGGCAGGACCAGCCAGCGGCCAGAGGGCAGGCCCTGGGGTGGCTGCAGTGGGTAAAGGAGCAGTAGGAGCCCAGAGCCTGAACGTGTGGCATTTCACCCCGACTCTGGGCTGGCACCCTGGTGAGACACCCACAGCTCTGTTCCCTGGGCCTGGCCAGGCCACTCTGTCACCTTGTCTGGGAAGGAGTGAAAAGGAGCTCATGTGCACGGCAGGAGGTTTAGGCCTATGGGGCCATCTGATGTGGGCCTGGGCTGTGCCTGCTCTGAAGGCCTCCTGTGAAGGGCAGGGCACCCTGTTAGGATGTGACAAGGCCTGAGGGTCTCTGCAGAACACCTGCAGCCCTGAGCACCCTCTGGGCATCCTGCCAACATGCATGGCAGAAAGAGGCAACCACAGAGGTGTGCGCAAGGTCCTCCTGAGCGTGTCAGGGGCCACAGGGCACCTCCCACCTCGCCAGCCTCAACAGCGGCTCAGAAGTGGGTAGAAGTCTTTCAAGTGTTGCCCCCTTTCTGGGCCCTGTACCCTGAGCCCTGTACCTGTTTAAACTCCTCCCAGGAGTTGGTCCAAGTCCAGAAGTGGGCCTTGTACAGGCCAAGAGTGACCGCCATCAGTGTATTGCCACGGTAATAGAACATGGGCCTGTGGGTGGGAGGGTAAGGATCACCACCGGGTCCCAGCATGGGCTCCTGGCAGGGTGAGCAGTGAGCTAGCCACACCTCCAAGCCAGGCCCAGCTGACAATCTAGAGATGACCACACTGAGATCAGACCGTGCACCGGAGGAAGGGCAGGCTGAGTTGCTTAGTGACGGAGGCTTAGTGTACACAGACAGGCCTGAGGCCTGGGCACACTCCTCCAGGGACCTCCGGCCCTTGTGGGGCAAAGGCAGGCCAGCATGGGAGTTAAGGGTGGCAGCAAAGGGCCCATCCTGGGGCAGAGGACCAGGGGAAGTGCAGGTGTGAAGCTGGGGCATCGGCCCCTCTCTTCTCGATGTAAGCGAGCTACTTGTTCAGGTTTCAAAAGGAATTTTAAAGGAAAAGAACATAAGGAATTTGGGGGAAGAAAAAAGCAAGCTCCTCCCAATCCTCCCCAAAGCCAGCGGCCCCACAGCGAGCTTGGCGGAGGCTCTAGGCCTGAGAGGGGCAGCTTCGCAGGCCCACACCTGTAGCTGGGCACACAGGCTGGAGTCCGGGAGAGCTGGCGGCTGTGCCGAGAGTCCTCCTCCCACACAAGGGACTGTGGTGGTGGTCACAGTGACTGGGCTGAAGGTGGGGACAAGGCACCTCCATCTCCCTGTGCCCTGAGCCCCAGGGGCCGTGCTCCACACGGAGGCCCCAGGTCCTCTGGCCAGGAGCTCCCAGCCTCCCGTTGGCCTTCAGCCACAGCAGAGGCTGACAGTGTGGATGAGGAGGCTCTGCAGGGGGAAGGCTGTTTGTCCATCACCAACCTGTCCATCAGCTGGCCCTGCAGAATGGCAGGAAGGAGGTCGAGGCCGTCGACAGCCCTGTCACGGGGCGGCTTCAGGCCTGCGAGGGACAGGCT